GAAGGAAATGTTTTTAATTGTTCCTATGCATGCAGCAAGGTAGTCTTATTTCTCTACCTTCAATTTTTTGCTATTAGGTATTGCTTAATCCGTTGCATAAGTCGCAAAATAAGTACATATTACAAATGTGCAGCTATTTTCACACCCGAATCCTGCCAATAATTGCTAGTTTCCTTCGAAACTAAAATATTTTTATAAAATTTCACCTACAGCTAGCAGCTGCTTTCACTTATCGTTAGTTATTAGTACTATCGCGATTGATAGCAAGTTATAGTGATGAAAACAAAAAAAAATAAAAACTATTTAATTGCTGACATTAAAATTGCTTGTTCAGTTGTATTTCCGTATCTAATTATTTTCTAATATATGTTTATTAAAATTTGAAACTCGTAGCAAAAAGAGTGTGTTCTACTTACACATGGGGACTTTTGTGTAATTTAATTACCTAACTTTGCAAAAGTTTGTTTTTCGGTTTATCCAACCAGCAAGGAGGAATATTCATAAATTTCCTATTAGGTGCGTGTTTTTTAAAGAAAATTATTGAGTTACTAGTTGTACTTTAGGACGTTTTAAATAAAATACAGGAAAAGCGTAATATTTCTCAATTTTCTATCTTCCGCTTTCTGCCTTTAATAATTCAACTCCGAAAACCATGATGCTTTTTATATTTTGCTTTCTCGCGAGTGAATTAATTTTAATCGAATAACTTTTTTCGATAACACAAAAGAAGTGTTGTGGTTCGCGCTGTCTGAAATTAAATTAAACATTTTGTTGCACGTACCGTTCATACAAAAGATTCTTAACTTGACTTCTTTTTACTCTTAATTAAATACATATACATAAAAACATTAAATCTTGCTGTATGATGTTCTATGTATGTAAAATTTTAGTGCAATTGAAGTAGAAAATAATTTATACATATATCGAAGACGCGAGAAGCTTCATGAAGGACAGGCGAATTATGAGGATATCGGGGAGAGAGATCAGAAATGAAGAGATATTAGAAAGAATAGGAGAATAGAGGGCGCTATGGAGAGTTAGACCTATATTAGATTACTGTTCGCAAATAGTTAAGGATGTGGGTTGTTCTAGTTTAAGGGAAATGCGAACATTAGCTCAGGATAGGAATGAGTGGAGGTGCGTGTCCAATCAGTCTCAGGACTGACAACGATGATAATGATGAATAATATAAAGCCATGTCCACCTTGAAGACCCATTCTAAATATTGATGAACTAGTTTTTTAAATCGGATTAGTAGTTTCGGAGATTACCTCATATATATCCAAACGTTACCGTTCCTTTCTATTGAAATGCAAAACTGCTGGATCGTATAATCTATGTTCGATTTTCATAGTGGATATGTTACAAAGAATGCTCTGAATTTATGTAAATATCAATTTTGATACTTACACGGTCCTTGTCCGTCATACGTGAGCCCTTTGATATGTAAGGTTCGGGAATCGACAGCATACACTTCTCCTGATACATCGTGTTGCAGTTCTGACAATTTTCCAACAAATTTTCCCAAGTATTGAACTCCGTTGGCGGATTGGAGCACTACTGAAACAAAAGTGAAAACAAAACAATGCTTAATTATCTTATTGTAAACTTTTTATAGATAGACAAAACTACATCAACATTATAGACATCCGATATATGCAGCGGATAAAATTGTTAGCAAAAGTTGCGCATTCATATTCTTCGCTGTCAGTTGCATAAGCAAGTTTTGAAGTTAAAACGGGAGCTAATTAAAGGGATGTGCTCTGTAAAAGGAGACTTTTACCCTACTAATGGATGGCACTCCGAGAGACGATAAATCGTTGTAAGTAACTGCTTTTATTAAAATGTACTAAAGGAAATTAAAATCAACGGTTCATGAAGACAGTATGACTTTTACGAAAAGTAATTTAAACGTAAGGGGTAACAAGGCAATAAGAAGTATCCATTGTGTAATTTCTTTTAATGAAAACTCAAGTCCCTCGTTCACTTTGTACGAACCCTTGATGAGGTTTTTATTTTATAAAAATGTGAAATACGAAGGTGTATCATTCTGGAGCATGTAAATTGTTAAAGTATTGAATATTAATTTACATTTACTAAAATATCTTCGTCAGAAGGTGGATAATCATGGAAAAATATATACTACAAATTCTGACGGTGCCTCAATTGCGTGACCCTGTGAGCTAATAGTAAAAAAGCTCTAACACATGTTGTTTTTTGACTAATCTGTTGAATCTTAAGTTACTTGTATAGTTGTTTATCTATGTTCTTATGTTCATCTTCAAGGATGACACTTACACCGACATCTCAACCCTAAAATTCTCTGGAGTAGTTTAAACCGTATTTTCTACTTATATAGTACAATTGAGTACAACATGATGTAATTACGCGTTTGCTTGATTCATACAGGCTATGTCAATGACGTGTTTGTATCTTCTCAATAATTTTACTGCATATATTTGCTTTAATACAGATGGAACAGTATATATAATAAGAATAAGAAGGCCGAAAGCTTAAAGGGACAGCGGTGATATTCTATATTTTTGACCTTCATTTCTAATGTGATACAGTGATACATTAGATACTTATAAAGAGCGATTGGAATCTACTATACCGAAAGATACTCTTATACATATTATATAAATATATCTAGAGTCTACATTTACTTGCATTTATTGATGAAAGATTCAACAATTATACTTCTTGTGAGTTGGAAGTTTGCGTCAAGTTTCAGAGCTCGTTGTTAACATGTAGAAATTAGAGCTCAGGAACATCTTAATCACTTTATGCAGTAATTAAAGACGATGGTGTGTGTGGTAGAGTAATTTGCTTAACTCTCTTATTACAAATACATAATTGAAGAAGAATGTTCTTATCTGTACCTATTATGAAAATGGTAGAGAGACCTACTGAGGTAGTTCTGCACCTAACTATTGTACAATAAATAATACATACCTAGATATAAAGTTAATAAAAAAGTTAAAGCTTATTCCGGAACGAATTGTAAGTTATGTTAGAATTGATATAGATAAATAGCCACTTGTTTTTTCAAACTAATACTGTTTTTTTTTTGGTGTAGATTTCAAACGTCGAGTTATTTAATAACCCTTTGATTCTTTCAGACGTTGACGCTTCCGCAATTCTACTCTAATTAAATTAAATTTTATCCGTGAAAGGAGTAAAAACATGCTTTTCGATAGGAATAATGATGCTCCGAATCGATAAAAAGCTACCTAGAAACTTCGGTTTTCGTTAGCAGTAGCGTAGGTACGTATTCAGATTCTCTCTAAAAATTAATTCGAGGACCCAATTTCAACGAATTTTCAATAAGCTTAACACCTTTACGGTTATACGTGATAACAGTACTGCAAATTGGAAGATATTAATATATGTGGATTAAATTGAAAACACTAATTGAATCAATATAATTAAAGGAAGATAAATAAACTTGAATTCAGAAGAAGAAAGATTACAGACTTTTTTTATATTTTGTTTATATAATTTTTGTAAACTCTCATTTGATATATCGTAGGTAGGCAATATGACCTAGTAAGCACTACGACTTAATAGGCAAAAAATACCTTCGAATAGCTATAAAGTACTTATTACTTATAAATTTTTTAGCCTTAAAACTTTTTGAAATTAAGGAAATTAACATTTTTTTGTCATATAGCTTATAAATATGCGGGCAGGTGTGTGTATCAAAGAAGAAATTAATATAAGAGGACGTAAAACAAAAATACTGGTATGCAAGGAAAGAAAAAGTAGGGAAAGAGCGAATATAAAGATAGGAGACGAAAAATTAGAAGAAGGGGCTGATTTTAGGTATCTAGAAATTCAGATAAGTCAGGTTGGATGGAATAGTAGGGATATAAAACAGGGTTGAGTAGCTTTCAATATGCCCTTCTATGCTCGCGAACGGTTAATTTAGAAATCCCAAAAAAGGTTGTTAAAGGTGTATGTTTGGAGCGCGGCGCTGTATGGGTGCGAAACATGGATAGTGGGTGCGACGGAAAAGAATAGATTAGTAGCGTTCGAAATGTGGTGTTATAGGCGAATGACGAGGATAACGAGGGTAGAAAAGGTTAGAAATGAAGAGGTATTAGAAAGAATAGCAGAACAGATAACTCTATTGAAGTCAATAAGAAATAGGCGAGATAGGTTAGTAGGACACCTTCTCGTGCATGAAGGTCTAGTCAGAGAAATATTAGAGGCAGAAACGGGAGTTAGGAGGGGTAGAGGTAGACCTAGATTAGATTACTGTTCGCAAATAGTTAAGGATGTGGGTTGTTTTAGTTTTAGGGAAATGCGAAGATTAGGTCAGAATTGGACTAGATTTTAGCTAATATCATATTCATTTTGATTTAGATAATTTCGGTATGGAAAAAATAGCCGTGGAATCCAAGAACGCCCTATTTCACTCATTTCTGCAATATAATCTCAAATGGGCCACTTCCTCTAAAGGAAAATGAGCATTAGACTGACTTTTGTTGTTTCAAGTTGATTGGCTGGGAAAACTCCAAAAACAGAAATATTTAAGTACTTTCTTAGTTGCTTGTAAGCATTTGTTATTGTTTCCCCCTAATGCGCTATCGGAACGTTTTCATGTTGCGCCCCTGTATGAGTTTACGTCACTAGTTTAGAAACGAACTCTGGACTCGCCAGTCTCATTTCCTTTCTGCGAGAAATGTAAACCCTTTTTTTCGAACAAATAACAACAAAGCAAGAGCGAACATGACAGTTTCAGCGCCGTGGTATCGTAGTTGTCCCAGTAACTGATTTACTTTGAAAAACTGCATGGAAACGATTTGGTATATTGTTACTACTATTTCGGAAATATCTAGAATTCTGCAGCAACAATAACGAACGAATAATAAAAAGCAAAAAAGAACAATGCAAAAATACGAAAAGGAATAAAATCGGCTCGAAGGTTAATTAAACTTTGCCTAAACTGACGTTAATAGGAAACGCAATTCAATCTTCCATGAAACAAATGAGTTCGGTCCAAGTTTTGACGTTCGGGATGCGGTAATCAGATTTGCTGCCTGTTCAAAAACAAACCTGTATTAATATTGCTCGGTTTTATTAGGAATAGTTCTCCATGTTCCCGACATTTATTCCCTGACAAGCTTACTGGCGCTGCCCACGGACTTTTCTCCAACTTTTTAAATTGAGTTTGTATATCTACCTATGTCTGTATAAAATGGAATCGACTTCAACTTTTTTGTCATTCGTCCTTTATTCAATTTAAAAAACTATCTAGATTTTAATAGAACTTTGTAAAAATCAGAGAGGGTAATGGTCCAAATGTGGAAATATTGATTTAATTTTACTACTTACTAAGTACAGAAAATTTCATTCCTTTTGATGCTATTTTTAGAAAATTGTACGTAAGGCATTTAGTTAAATTTTCTTTTGTTCTAAGTTTAAAACTTTACAAGAAGACTTAGCCGATTATTCTATGTGTGATGTTTTTGAGAAATTCAAAATAAAAATAAAATAAAATAGACTATTCGGTTTACTATCAAAGTTGTTCTAAAAATATCATTGATTGAACTCAAGTTCAGAACGCAGGCTCAAAAATCTGAAGAAAGTGAAGGTTTTTTAAATGTTACTGAAGCAAATAGACAATTGCTGTCCTTTAAAAATTGTAAGGATTACTTTAGTTATGTGATTGCTATAAATTTTGTATCATCGTCGTATAGTTGTCAGTCCTAAAACTGGTAGTCGAGGCACCTCCACTCTTTCCTATCCTGAGTTAATCTTCCCATTTCCCTAAAACTAGAACAACTCATATGCTTATTTATTTGCGAATAGTAATCTAATCTAGGTCTATCTGTACCCCTTTTAACTCCCGTTTCTGCCTCTAATATGTGCCTGACTAGACCTTCATCCCTGAGAAGGTGTCGTACTAACCTATCTCTCCTGTTTCTTATGGACTTCCGTAGTCCTCTGTCCTGTTACTCTTTCTAATACCTCTTTATTTCTAACCTTCTCTATTTACGGTATCCTCATCATTCGCCTACAACACCTCATTTCGAACACTTCTAACCTTTACTTTTCCCTAGCGCCCACCGTCCATGTTTTGCACCCATACAACGCCGCGCTCCAAATAAACACCTTTGACAATCTTTTTAGAATTTCTAAATTAATTATTTATTTTCATACAGTACTGTTTTGTCAATACCACTTCCACTTTAATTAAATCCATCTTTAACTCCTCTTTGTTAGATGCTAATACTGCTATATCATCTGCAAATCTATGCGTACTAATCTTTTGCCCCTGTATATCTATCCCTACAGTTGTAGTGTCTTTAATGATGTTGATCGCGTCTTCGATGTATAGATTAAAAATTAGCGGTGTCAGTGTGCATCCCTATGTGACTCCCTTCCTAATATTTACTTCTCTAATACGTTACAGCCCCAGCTCTATAACTATATAACTATGTGTATATAAAAAAATAAATGAAGAACGCCGATTCTTTTACATTATCTTATCGTTTATCACCAAACACTGGCTTCTCCTCAAAGACGGTGTGTAGTTTGTTGTTTTACCCTGC